GAATCAGTCCCCTCCCATTCAGGAATCAGTCCCCTCCCATTCAGGAATCCGTTCCCTCCTATTCGGGAATCAGTCCCCTCCCATTCCGGAATCAGTCCCCTCCCATTCTGGAATCTGTCCCCTCCTATTCGGGAATCAGTCCCCTCCCATTCAAGAATCAGTCCCCTCTCATTCAAGACTCAGTCCCCTCCCATTCAGGAATCAGTCCCCTCTCATTCAAGACTCAGTCCCCTCCCATTCAGGAATCAGTCCCCTCCTATTCGCGAATCAGACCCTCCCATTCAGTAAAGAGACCCTCCCATTCATGGATCGCTTTGCAAATGACATGTTGGAACAAACAGCTATATCTTCAGAACAGAAACAAGTAGCAATCTGCAACAAAGTCTGTTAAAATCCTCACAATACCATTGACCACCCAGAGGGGATTGATTGTATTTTCAACAGAAGTGGAGCTGCTCTTTAAGTTTGTCAGCTAAATACATCCCAGGTACATGAAAACAAAAGTTATGCAAAGACTTACAGCTGGTTGTCTTTAGAAATCAGCCGCAGCCCGAGTAGAAAAGCCCGTCCCCCGCCAGCATGCTGCAGAGAAGGACCCTTGCTCTCTGTGCGGACAAGCCGTGTTATCTCTGCAAAGGTTCAATATGCCCCCTTGCTCTCCAATTAACAAACAGCATGAGTGGGCGGGGGCATGTTAGACCTCCTGTATGAATAAAGCCTGCAGACTGTGGTTGCAGGCTTCATTTATTAATATGTTAACACTATCATTACTGTTAACATAACGTGGTAACAGCAACATAACAATGACACTTCCTGCTGCCCAAAGAGCTACCGGTCTTGTGCAATCAGCGGTCTCACCAAGGCTACGGTATGTGCAGTGTCACCAGGGCTACGTACGGTCTCAACAGGGCTGTGCAGTCTCACCAGGGCTGTGCAGTCTCAGCAGGGCTATGTGCAGTCTCAGCAGGGCTACGTACGATCTCAACAGGGCTGTGCAGTCTCAACAGGGCTATGTGCGGTCCCAACAGGGCTATGTGCGGTCCCAACAGGGCTACGTGCGGTCTCACCAGGGCTACGTGCGGTCTCACCAGGGCTACGTGCAGTCTCACCAGGGCTATGTGCAGTCTCACAAGGGCTGCGTGTGGTCTCACCAGGGCTGTGCAGTCTCACCAGGGCTGTGTGCGGTCTCACCAGGGCTACGTGCGGTCTCACCAGGGCTACGTGCTGTCTCACCAGGGCTACGTGCTGTCTCACCAGGGCTACGTGCGGTCTCACCAGGGCTACGTGCGATCTCACCAGGGCTATGTGTGGTCTCAACAGGGCTGTGCGGTCTCAACAGGCCTGTGTGGTCTCACCAGGCCTGTGTGGTCTCACCAGGGCTATGTGTGGTCTCACCAGGGCTATGTGTGGTCTCACCAGGACTATGTGCGTTCTCAACAGTGCTACGTGCGGTCTCACCAGGGCTATGTGTGGTCTCAACAGGGCTGTGCGGTCTCACCAGGACTATGTGCGTTCTCAACAGGGCTACGTGCGGTCTCACCAGGCCTGTGCAGTCTCATCATGGCTGTGTGCGGTCTCCCCAGGGCTGTACGGTCTCTGCAGGACTATGTGCTGATTTGGGAGCTTTAACTCAGCATTGGGTATGTGCCGCCATGCTGTAAATGCTATTAGCGTTGTGCCTACTGGTCAGTATATGTTTTTATGCCCGCAGCTCAGCTTTAATCTATTTAAGTCTTGGCTTTCTGTGGCTTTCTTTCATCTCATACATGAAGACGCACTGCGATCAGGTAATGACTTTGTACTATTTCTCTATAGGAAAGGTACAGCTGCCCAACTCCACGTTACTGGTGGAGACCTTCTTAAAGAGGAAGCGCTTCATCCCGGACCCTCAGAGAACCAACCTCATGTTTGCCTTCTTCGCCCAGCATTTCACCCATCAGTTTTTCAAGACCTTCGGAAGGATGGGGCGAGGGTTCATCAAAGGATTTGGTCACGGGGTAAGCTGCACTTTTTGTTTGTTTTCTCAGCGATATAAAACATTTCTGTCCGGAGCAATCCATCATCTGATAGGAGTCTTGACATCACTTAGCCAGCAGACCTCCCTGTTAGTGCCTCCTTTAAGGTCTGCCGCAGTGAGATCCCCGGCTCCGATGGGGGCGCCTGAGTGGCTGCCAGGTACGGTTTGAAACTTGAAAGTCTGGCATGCAGGTAATTAACTTAACCAGAGCCGGCTTCTAAGACCAAATCTAATCAGTGCTATGGAATTGAAGGCACTCTAAGCATGCGTCTCATTCCTATAGTGTCTCCAGGATATGCTTAGGGTACCCATGGGCATTCGAAGCCTGTCGTCCCATGCCTGCAATTTGTGTTGTATCCTTTTTAGTGATAATTCTATTATTCATAAAGAGCCGAAGGATCCAGCCGTTGCTTTGGCTGATCCTTCGGCTCACTTCAGCTGCCTCTGCCCTTCGGTTCAGTCGGCTGAACCGAAGGGCTGCTGCTGTGGTGTTACTCAGCCCTGATGAAGGTGGAGTTTAACCCCTGAAACGTGTTGGATTTTACTTCTGACTTATTGTCGTGTGCAATAAAGACTTACTGGATTTTTCATTAGATCTGTGAAGGAACACATTTCAGGGGCACTGGGATTTCTGCGCTCACTCAAATTGTTCATATGCGGGCAAGTTTGCAAATAAGCCCATTGCGGGTCAAAGTTCAGAAATAAACGGTGCCAAACCAAAGTTATGTTTATAAACATTGATCAGAGGGGAGAGAGCGAGAGAGAGATACAAAGTAACATTGTTTATAAACATTGATCAGAGGGGGAGATAGAGAGATACAAAGTAACATTGTTTATAAACATTGATCAGAGGGGGAGATAGAGAGATACAAAGTAACATTGTTTATAAACATTGATCAGAGGGGGAGATAGAGAGATACAAAGTAACATTGTTTATAAACATTGATCAGAGGGGGAGATAGAGAGATACAAAGTAACATTGTTTATAAACATTGATCAGAGGGGGAGATAGAGAGATACAAAGTAACATTGTTTATAAACATTGATCAGAGGGGGAGATAGAGAGATACAAAGTAACATTGTTTATAAACATTGATCAGAGGGGGAGATAGAGAGATACAAAGTAACATTGTTTATAAACATTGATCAGAGGGGGAGATAGAGAGATACAAAGTAACATTGTTTATAAACATTGATCAGAGGGGGAGATAGAGAGATACAAAGTAACATTGTTTATAAACATTGATCAGAGGGGGAGATAGAGAGATACAAAGTAACATTGTTTATAAACATTGATCAGAGGGGGAGATAGAGAGATACAAAGTAACATTGTTTATAAACATTGATCAGAGGGGGAGATAGAGAGATACAAAGTAACATTGTTTATAAACATTGATCAGAGGGGGAGATAGAGAGATACAAAGTAACATTGTTTATAAACATTGATCAGAGGGGGAGATAGAGAGATACAAAGTAACATTGTTTATAAACATTGATCAGAGGGGGAGATAGAGAGATACAAAGTAACATTGTTTATAAACATTGATCAGAGGGGGAGATAGAGAGATACAAAGTAACATTGTTTATAAACATTGATCAGAGGGGGAGATAGAGAGATACAAAGTAACATTGTTTATAAACATTGATCAGAGGGGGAGATAGAGAGATACAAAGTAACATTGTTTATAAACATTGATCAGAGGGGGAGATAGAGAGATACAAAGTAACATTGTTTATAAACATTGATCAGAGGGGGAGATAGAGAGATACAAAGTAACATTGTTTATAAACATTGATCAGAGGGGGAGATAGAGAGATACAAAGTAACATTGTTTATAAACATTGATCAGAGGGGGAGATAGAGAGATACAAAGTAACATTGTTTATAAACATTGATCAGAGGGGGAGATAGAGAGATACAAAGTAACATTGTTTATAAACATTGATCAGAGGGGGAGATAGAGAGATACAAAGTAACATTGTTTATAAACATTGATCAGAGGGGGAGATAGAGAGATACAAAGTAACATTGTTTATAAACATTGATCAGAGGGAGATAGAGAGATACAAAGTAACATTGTCTATAAACATTGATCAGAGGGAGATAGAGAGATGAAAAGTAACATTGTTTATAGACATTGATCAGCGGGAGATGGAGAGAATTCACAGCCCTGATTTCACCCCTATTGTTACATTGTATACCTAAAACTTCGTACTAGCATGCATGGGCCCCATTCGCCACCGCTGCTGAGGGCCGGCATGTAACTATCAACAATAGACAGTCGATAAGGGGAAAAGTCAGAAATTCGGTTATTTAGTGTCCTCAGGGAGATTTCACATAATTTCATGTCCCAGGGACTGGTGCAGCCTGGAACATTAGGCAAGGGATGAGTGCCCCGGCGAGGACACAGAGAACACTGAATACCTTACAGGTCCAGCCACTCACCTCTCTATCCAACACTTACAAAAAAAAATCGTTGGCTGGCCTTTTACTCAGAAGTTCATTTAGAAAATCGAGAATTTCACTCTGAAGCAGCAGCAGGAAAGACAAGAGAAGCGACCACAGCTGTGCTTATACTGAGCGCATGCTTTAGCCTCATAAAACATTTCCTGTAAGGGGGATAAAGTCGCCAATAACATCCAAATGTCTCCTCCAGCTCATTCCCGTTACATTTTATTTACCTCGGACCGTATTCATTTCCTCTCGGCTTTAACGCAGTAAATGAAGTTTGCTCCGGATTCCAAAAATCTACATTTGTGCAAATAAAATAATATGAGGGGAATCGCTGTTAAATCTGGATACACTCTGCAAAAGAAATCCGTCATTAGGTTCTAAGTCTCCAGGAAGTCTCCAGGAAGTCTCCAGGAAAGGATAACAGAAGGTTTTGGTTTTGAATGAAACGCAGTTTTATGTAGAAGTTCTCATGTTGCAATTAGAAGTATTTATTTTTGTTTTCCTAGTTGTTACCCAATGACACTCCCCCAAAATCACATTTCATTTTCAGCATCACTGCTAAATAAATAACTCGAAGTGAGTGGTGCGGAAATTCCCGAGGGCGGGCTTATCATCATTTATGGGCGCACTCCTCTGTATACATTTGATTTAAACTACCAATTACCAAGATATATTCATCTGCTCTGTCTGCAATATAAGGGAGTCTTCATTGGCCTATCTCTACACAGGACGTCCCCCCCCTTCAGTCTATCATGAATGCTGCAGCTAGATTAATCCATCTCTGGCTTCCATCCCCCACCCCTCTCTGCCAATCCTT